CAGGTGACGTGCCTGTGGGCGTATGGACCTGTCAGGAAACGTGTGGCTGTACGTGATCTAACTTTAAATTGTATCAGGGGATGTGCCAGGAGGCATATCAGGGGACGTGTCAGGGAACTGGTCAGGGGGGCGTTATATTGGGGATGCCTGGGGATGTGTCATGAGACTTTGTCCATGGGCGTAACAGGGGACGTGTCCAGTGATTTTTCGCAATTCTTGCACTTTCCTAAAGCTCCGCAAGTCTGGATCAGAGTAGGTAGGCGCCCAAGCCAACATGCCGGGGTTGCGAGGCTCGAGCACAAGTGTGAAGAAGCTTGCCGCGAGGCTTGATGAGAGCAAAACCAGCCCGCCGTTGGTGGCCATTGTTTTACAAAACAGTTGAGATGGGTCATGGGGCGAATTGTCAGAGAGTGGCAAGGACGGAAATTCAACTTAACGAAGCCCACTGTAGGTTCCGACTTCCTTTTTAAGCCCAACACTGTCGCCGATGTGGATCAGTCACGCAGGTGGGTGGCAGGTGGTGGTCGCGGGTGAGTCGCGGGTTGGTCACGGGTGGGTCGAGGGCGGGTCGCGGGAGGGTCATTGGTGGGTCGGGGTTGGATCACCGTCGGGCTGCCAGTGGGTCGTTGGTGGATCGTGGGTGGGGCGGGTCGGAGCGGGGGGCGATGACGACAGCGACGAACGACCAACAATGAGAATAATCACCGCGGAACTCCGCTTCAGGTATGCACCCAGGGACAGTGTGATACCGTTCAGCATCTCACTCTGATGATACCTGATGGCCTTCGGCCCATCCCGCCACCGTGTCTGGCCTCTGGGTATGAAGACTATTGCTTACGCTTCGCGAACCCCCACCAGCCCACTTAGAACCCCTGCCAATGAGAGCTGTCTGGAAACGGAGAGAAGAGACACATATAGTGAAATAGAGCGTGTAAGGACAGTAGAGGAAGGAGGGTGTTGAGCCATCTTGGAGGCTATCTTTGAGCATCGGAGGCCTTCTTGGAGCTACGGGGTTGTATTGGAGGATATTGGGGTCCTCTTGGACCTCTTTTGGGGCATCTTGGGGCCCTCTTGGGGCTCTTTGGGGGTCTTAGGGTCCTCTTTGGGCTCTTTTGGGGCGCCTTGGGGCCCTCTTGGGGCTCTCTCGGGGCTCTCTTGGGGCCCTCTTTGGAGCTCTGGAGCGCCTCCTGGGGCCATCGTGGAGACTATCGAGCAAAGGAGGGGGGGTCCACGATTTCCCTCCCCCCTCCGGGGCCATCGGAATAGCCTCTTGGGGCTCTCTTGGGGCCCTCTGGAGCTCTGGAGCGCCTCCTGGGGCCATCTTGGAGACCATCGATCAAAGGAGGCGGGTCCACGATTTCCCTCCCCCCTCAGGGGGCCATCGGAATAGCCTCTTGGGGCGTTCTTGGGGCCCTCTTGGTGCGATCCTCGGCGCTCTTGGGGCAGTCTTCGGGGACCTCTTGGGCCCTTCTTGGAGCTCTCTTGGGCCATCTTAGGGCCATCTTGAGGCCTGAAATGCGCATCGGAAGCGAAAAGGCGAGAAGGCAAATATCAGTGATTGTCCTCCGGTTGTTGAAAGAGTTTGGCTTCTCGGGGAGGTCCTGAGGAGTGGCCAAAACCACCTGAAACCATCTTGCGGCCCTCTTGGGGCCTCTTGGAGGCATGTTGTTAGCGATCTTGAACCACGTTGGGCTATCTTGAAAGATCTTGGGGGCTATCTTGGGCTCTTCAGAGGCCCTCTTGGAGCCATCTTGGGCGAAAGAAAACCCTCTGACACCTCGCGCCCCCCCCCGTCCAGGTCCAGGGGAGGGGTAAGGGGAGGGGAAAACCCTTCCCCGAAGGGGAAGAAGGGGCTGTGGAAGAGGAAAGAAAGACATCGTTAGACCACCTGTCGCCCAGAGGGCTGGTGGAATTGGATGTTCGTTGGGATTTTGTGGGAGGCCTCTCGGGGGCCTCTCTTGAAGGCAGTTTGGAGGCCTCTTGGGGGCCGTTCTGGGGCCCCTGTTGGGCCTCTTGTGGGCTTCTTGGGGCCTATTGGGGGCCTCTGTCGGCGGCCCCGGCGATACGCTGTGCCCTGGCGTGTCGCTCCGCTCCGCGGGAGGCTCCGGAGGGCTCCTGAATGTGGCCCTTCTTCGCCTCCCCCTACCCCCGCTGACAGAAAAGCACGCCGCGGACGGGCCATGGTTTCCAGGCCTCTTTCGCACAGGTGCCAGACCACGGCCCTCTGAACTCGTGCTTGAGGCCGGGAAGACCTTCACGATGGTTTTGGCCGGCTCCGCTTGCACCATGGCAAGTTTGCCGAACACCTCGCGCTTCCCAGCCTTGGTCACCTTCTTCTGGGGGCCTCTTGGGGCCTCCTGGGCGCCTCTTGGGGCCTCCTGGGGGCCCCTTGTGGCGGAAGGGTCGGATTGTCGGTTCGTGCTCCTTCTTTTGGGCCTCATTTGGGGCCGTCTTGGAGGCCCTTTGGGCCGTCTTGGGCGCCTCTTGGGCCGTCTTGGGGCGCTCTTAGGCCGTCTTTGGGGCCTCTTGGAGACTTCTTTGGACGTCTTGGGGCGGTATTGGGGGCCTCTCGCGCCGTCTTGGAGCGTCGGAAAGCCGAAAAGGCGAGAACGACAACATCATTCAACAACCGACAGAAAATATATGATTTGGGCCTCTTGGGGCCCTCTTGAGAGGCCTCCTGGGCCGTCTTGGAGGCCTCTTGGGCCGTCTGGGGGCCATCTTGAGCTCTTTGGAGCGATCGTTCGGTGACTTGGTACCCTCTTGGACCGTCTTTGGGACCTCTTGGGGCCCTCTTGGCATGTCTTCGGGCTCTCGTGGCCACCACTTCCGAACGCCCAGGGTGCACGCGGGAAGCCCCAAGAGATTTCGGAAATTGGGGTCTGGGCCCTTCGAAGACTTCTCAGGATTGGGGATTGAGGCTGAGAGGACTGGGCCCAGGACCTGTGGACACGCCCTTTCCGTGCCCAGAGGCACGGTGGCAGAGAAACGCCGGCCAGGTCCGCGGGCGTAGGGGCGGCCCCCTTTCGCCCTCTCCCCTTCGCAAGCGCCATTTCTGCATCGAATGTCGAGGAGCCTTCTCAGGGTCTTCGAGTGGTTCTTTTGTATTTCGGCCTCGAGGGGCTTCCGAGATGGTTCAGGAGAGCGCGCAGATGCCACCAAGTCGGCCCAGTGCGGCCCAAAGCGTTACAATATGGCCCCAGAATGCCTTCAAAGAGGCCCATAAATGCTTCTAGAGAGGCGCCAGACAGCCAATCTCGGGGAGGGGATGCTCTTTTGCTCTCGCGGTTTGTTCTAATTCGGAAAAGGGAGCCCCAGAACGGTTCATCAAAACATCAGGGCAACCCAAGACACTCCACAGGGAACCCAAATACCCCAGCCCAGGCAGCCTCAAGCAAGAGCAGCTCCGAGAGGCCCCTGCGTGCCTCCCTCCCCTCCTCCCCTCCCTCCTTCCGCCCTCTCTCTCTCTCTCTCTTCCGTTCTTAACTTCCGCCCTCCCTCTCCCTCCCTCCCTCGATCTCCCAGCCCTCGCTGCCTGTAGGGAGAAAGAGGGTGGGGGGCAGCAGGGTGCAGGCAGAAGAGGAAGGAGGACCAAGATGCAGAGGGCAGGAAGGCACATGGAGAAGCAGGATGAGAGGATGAGAGACAGGAAGGTGGAACGGTGCCTGCTCCTGCTGCTCCAGGGGCCACGGCCAGTTTTCGTTGGCAGAGCTGGAGCGACTGGCCATCCGAGTGCAGGAGAGACGGGTGCCTGCTCTTCTTGCAGCGAAGCTGTGATTCGTTCCGCATCGCGTAGAACCCCTTCGGCGTCCGACCGAGCAGACATGCGTGCACCAGGCGGCTGCGTATCTGCCAATATCCGTAAGGGCTTCGCCCCATGCCGCCGGCTCCCTGCCTCGGATAATGGGAGATGCAAAAGCTAAAACATGAGGTTTGGGCGCCGCCGTGAAGCAGTGTCGGGACAGGTTTGTTTTTCGACCCTGACCCTACGGATCTGCGTCGCGGGTGCCAACGAATTTCAGAAATGTGGCAAATCCTTTCTGTTTTTGGACCCTGACCCTACGGATCTGCGTGAGGGGTGCCGCCGAATTTCAGAAATGTGGCAAGTCCCATGTGTTTTTGGACCTTGACCCTGCCGATCTGCGTGAGGGGGGCCACCGAATGTCAGAAATGTGGAACATCTCATATGTTTTTGCACCCTGACCCCGCCGATCTGCGTGAGGGGTGCCGCCGAATTTCAGAAATGTTGGAAATCCCATGTGCTCTTGCACCCTGACCCCGCCGATCTGCATGAAGGGTCCCACCGAACGTCAGACATGTGGCAAATCCCATGTGTTTTTGCACCCTGATCCCGCCAATCTGTGGGAGGGGTGCCAGCAAATTTCAAAAATGTGGCAAGTCCCTTATGTTTTTGCACCCTGACCCCGCCGATCAAGATGAGGGGTGCAACAGAATTTCAGAAATGTGGCAAGTCCCCTGTGTTTCTGGACCCTGACCCCGCCGATCTGCGTGAGGGGTGTCAATTTTTACCCACCCCAGCAATTCAGATAACACGCCCAGGGCGTTGTAAAAAAAAACGATTTGGGCCTCCCCCCCTCGCGCGGTCCATCAACAAGGAACAGTAAGCAGCAAGAAGCAGAATTGTAACAAGGAGCAGTAAGCAGCACGAAGCAGAACTATAACAGTGGAAACTGGAAGCTGCAACTGGTACGGGAAACTGCGAACCTTAGGCCTACAGCCTGGTGGCCCTACAAGGGGGCCGGCAGATGTTGCTCATAAATCTCAGTGTGCACCAGGTTTGGCATGCATGAATCCACCGTTGCACCTGGCATTGCTCGTTCAATGTGTTCGACCGCCTTGGCCGGCTAAAAGCAAAATAATTAGCCCAGCAAAGCGCCCTAAAAGCGGACACTATACTAGAACCACGCACTGGCTAGCTCGCTGCTAACATCAACCTGAACCTTACGCCCTCTGCGCAGCTCGCTCGCTGCAATGCCCAAGCCAGCCAGTCTGTCAGCCATAGCCGTGCATGGCCGTTGTGGCTCAACACGGCTTGCCCCGCGACAGCGCCGCCCCAACAGAGCAGCGCCAGAGCAGGCGCAGGGCCATGGCGGACGTCGAACATTTCCTGAGCCCGCTGTTCCGGCCGCCGCTGGGGCTTGCAGTGACCGGAGCTGCCTTGAAGTACGTGGCCACCACAATCATTCTCGCCGATCCGCTGCTGAGAACTCGCGGCGACTTCATCAGGGAGCGCGAGGACTCTGGTATGGGAGCGCGGCTGCAGCGCCTAGCTCTCTTGGTCGGGCGCGGTGTCTTCATCGGACTGGCGGCAGCCTGCTTCGAGCAAGATAGGGTGATCCTGTCGGAGGGGTTCCGACACCTATCTGGCCTCCAGTGTTGTCACCTTGTTGCAATGGTATTGGCGTTCAGTCCCAACACAGTGGCGGCTGTGGCAGCTGTCGGCATCATAGAGGTGAAGGCGGCCTGGCTCAACGGCTTCCCAATAAATAGTTGCTTCTACGGGAGTTTAGCAGACGCTGCCGCCGTCGCTTATGTCGCCTTCATGGGCCTGGTCTACTTGCTGCCCCTGCTTGTCATATCAACGATCTATGGTATTCCTGGGCTTTGCGCCATAGCTTGGTCTTTCTCGTGCGAGTTTGTCTTCGGCTTTGTTGTCAGGCCCTGGCAGCTGCTGACACAGGGGAGGGCCGACTTCAGCAGCTTCTGGATCGTGCTGCCAGCCGTTGCGGTCTTCATGCTCGCCGTCCTCCAGATCCTCCTCATAGCCTACTGTGTGTGCGTGATTCTCGAGAAGCGGTACCCGCAGATCGCTCAGCAGGAGAAGAACAAGAACGGTGGTGGCGGCAGATCCAGGCTCGTGCGCGAGATGCCTGCTCACGTCATTGGCTTGATGCGCGAGTTGGGGGGGTGGAAAGTCGGCGCCGAGCATTCCAAGGACGCCATCGGCGACAGCTCGTGCAGCGCAGAGTTGGAGCTGCTCCCCAAGGCTAGCGATGGGAAGGACGTCGAGATCAGCGGTGCTCAACCCCCACGGGGCTCCCGCCTGTGTGGCATGGCCGCGCACGAGGAGGACCAATGCTTGCTGAACGACACAACCTTGGGCGCAATATGGATGATGAAGGTCACGGGGTGCATCGCGATGCCGCTGCTTCAGGTCTGCGTGGTAATAACCGCGAAGGTCTTGCTAGGACAGGCAGGGCCCTGGGGGGCTACGCTCGAGGTCTTCAGCGAGAGGTCCTGGACGAAGTACTTCCAGCAGATTTGGAGCAGCGGCTCCTCGGGAGTGCTTCCGATTCTGTGATTCTCCTCAGAAGTCCTTTCCTCCGCCGATCAGGGCTCAATCGGGTTGCCGACACGGCCGATTCATCGAAAGATCGGGGCGGTCGATTTTGTTCTCGATTGGTTGGGTAGCTCACGCTCTGTGATGGATCGGGACACCTTGATCAGGAGCTAACCCATGCATGGAGGCTTGCAACCTCCCCCTGCTCACACATTCGCCCTCCTCCGCACCCCTCCTCCTCGTCATCACCATCGTTCCTCTTCGTCGTCCTCCTCATTCTCCTTCCTACTCTCGGCGGCGAGCTCGGGGGGGAAGTGAGAAGGCGCGGATCTTCTCAGAAGGCTCGGAAGGCCTCGGGCCGCCCGAGAAGTTTTCGAAGCCTTCCCCGACGACGCAAAGGAGCTCAGGAGGCCGGAGGACTTCTGAGAAGCCCCGCCGCCTTTGAGAAGGCCTCCTTCTTCTCACTTCCCACCCCTCGCTCGCCGCCGAGACTCCAGGCCAAACGTTGCAGGTGCCTTTGAGGGGTCAAGGCCCGAAGCGACACCCGATTCGACAATAGATTCGGCCCTCTCCGCGTACGTTAGATATACAGACATATGAACATAGATGTACTTGTACACGTATGTCTAGTTGTGCGCATGCATGTATATGTGTATATCGGAGTAGGCCGCGGGCGGGCCCGGGACCGCGGCCACGGGTACACATGGCCGCCCAGGGCCCAGGGGCGCCCTCGTGGCCCCCGCAGTCACATCGTGGGCGCACAGATGGCCCACATATTGGTACGACGGTCTACCGGGCAGGTCCACTACATCCCGAGGGTGCCGAAGATGCCGTTTGAATGGCCTCCCAAGGCTTCCAGGCTGCGCCAGGACGGCCCTGGGAAGGCTTCAGTGCGCGCCCGAGGCCCCAGACGAGTTCCCCGAGAGGCAAACATATTTGATGTCCCTAAGGTTTCCAATAGTTGGGGGGTCCTCTACTTTACGAGTTTCCGAAAACACAAGGCCGCCCAAGAAGCCTCCAACACCGCTTCAGGACGGGCCAAGAAGCCCCCAGGAGGGCCTAACAGGGCTTCATGACGGCCTCAGAGGCCCTAAGGACGGCCCCAAGAAAGGCTCAGGAGGGGGAGCATGAACCGACATTTCGAGTCTTTCGCCCCAAGAGGCCCCCAGGAGACCCCAAGAAGGCGCCAGGACGGCCCTGGACAGGCTTCTGTGGGCGCCGAGGCCCCAGACGAGCGTCCCGAGAGGCACGAATCTCTGATTGCCCTACCGTTTTTCATAAGTTTTTTCCGCTTTACGAATGCCCGACAATCCACGACGGCACCAGAGGCCTCCAACACCGCTTCCGGACGGGCCAAGAAGCCCCCAGGAGAGCCCCGGGACGGCCTAAGAGGGCTCCAATGACGGCCCCAGGAGCGCCCAAGACGATCCAAGAAGCCCACAGACGGCCCAAAGATGGGCTCAAGAGGGGGAGCATGAAACTAATTTTCGAGTCTTTCGCCCAAGAGAGGTTCTCAGAAGGCCCCAAGAAGCCCCCAGAGGTTGCCACGAGGCCCCAAGAGGACCCCAGGAGGCCCCCTACGACGCCTCAGAAGGCCCCCAAACGGCCGTCAAGAGGCCAAACAACGGCCCCCAAGATGCCCCCTTCGACATCCGATCTAACAATCACACGGCTTTTGACCCACTGCCCAGGCACGGTGGCGAGATGGGTCGAAGGCCATTCCTACGCTTCTTCACATTCCTTGCCGTTACCTTCCCAGCTCCCCCATCTCACTTCCAAGCTTCATTACCATTTCAAGATTTCCGAATGTTTCCATCTGGCTGTCCTTTGGGCTGTGCAGTCAAATTTGGGGCTACCCTGGAAACACCCACGGGGACTCCAACACGGCCCACACCATCATGTTCACAGAGAGCCTTCCGTGAACATGATTGAACGAGGAGGCCCACGATGAGGAGGAGGAGGGTCCGCGCCATCCCACCGGACATTCCAATTCAGCGTAGCGTTGCTTGGGGACCCGTTCACAGCGGAACCGAGGCCGGCCCCGCGGCCCCGCTCCGAGCGGACTCGGTGTCGAGGGTGTTGCTTGCAATTGCCGCTCTCCTCTGCGAGGCCCCCAAAGGCCCCAATCAGGCGGCCGCCTCTGATGCTGCTGGAGGGCCCCAAACTTGTCGAGAGAGCCCAAGAGGAACCCCACGACGGTTCCAACAGCCGTCAAGAGCCTCCCAAAACGAACCAGGCGATCTCGAAGAGCCCAGCCTGACGGCTTCCGAAGGCGTCAGATAGGCCAAAAGCGCCCCAAAACATCCCGCGGAACCCCTCGAGGCCCCATGGCAGCCCCAAGAGGCCTCCAAGGTGCCCCCAAGAGGCTTCCAAGAGTCCAACTCACGGCCCAGGGGGCTCCCGAAACGACTGGAGAGGTCCCCGAGAGAACCTTTAAACAAATTTCAGGAGCGGCCCCCTCCCAAACGCCTCATAGAGGCTCCCCGAGGCGCGCAGTCGGCTCCCCAGCAACATCAGACCGACGACGATGACGACGGCGCCGGTGACGATGCTGATGCTCATTTTGGTGATGCTGAGGATGATGATTGGTAAGACGAAGCAGTGACGATGTTCACGATTAGCGTAGCGGCGCCGATGGAGAAGGTGATGGGAGTGAGAGTGGAGATGATTATTCGGATGAGGATACGGATAAGGATGATGTTGGTGATCCGTTTGAGGATGAGGCTGGAAATGATGATCCTGATGGTATGCGATTTTGACGTGTCGGCATGGCTAGCAGCGCTGGCCCAAGGATGCTTTCCATGATGCTGCTGTCAATGATGGTGATGGTGATGGCGATCAGTAGCATGATTATTATGACGACGCGTAGGATGTTGACGAGCATGAGGATTAGTTTATTCATTGGTCGTTGAAGGTAGGTATTTTTGGATTTCCAGATCCCAATCTACTTTGCGCGCCTTCCTACTTCAATAATGGCTACGTTTAGATGTTTTTTGGGCGGGCGCAAACCTAATATATTGGTTGTTACTTCCTTGGAAGACGTAGATTGTTGATGGTGGTTTTCGTTAGTCCGTCGGTTGTTTTTGCTTGTCTGGCCGGTTTTTGGTTGGTTTGGTTTGTTTTCGTTTTCCCGTCGGTTGCCTTGGGCTCGTTGGCCGCCCCTCGGCTGCTCGGCCCCTCGGGTGGCCCGTGGGGCCCGTTCCCTGGTTGGTTTTGGTTGTTTTGGTTTGTTTTCGCTTGTCCATCGGTCGCACTGGTCGCAACGGGCACGTCGGCCGCCCCTCGGTCGCTCGGCCCCTCGGCTGGCCCGTTCCCTGGCGTGTTTTGGTTGTTTTGATTTGTTTTCGCGTGTCCATCGGTTGCGCTGGTCGCCCTGGGCTGGTCGACCGCCCCTCGGTCGCTCGGTCCCTCGGCTGGCCCGTCCCCTTGCTAGTTTCGGTTGTGTAGGCGTGTTTTCGCTTGACCGTCGGTTGCGCAGGTCGCCCCAGGCTCGCCGGCCGCCCTTCGGTCGCTCGGCCCCTCGGCTGGCCCGTTCCCAGGCTGGTTTGGGTTGTTTTGGCTTGTTTTCGCGTGTCCATCGGTCGCACCGGTCGCCCAAGGCTCGTCGGCCGCCCCTCGGCCGCTCGGCCCCTCGGCTGGCCCGTGCCCAGGCTGGTGTTGGTTGTTTGGGCTTGATTTCGCTTGTCCATCGGTTGCACTGGTCGCCCCAGGCTCGTCGGCCGCTCCTCGGTCGCTCGGCCCCTCGGCTGGCTGGTTTTGGTTGTTTTGTTTTGCGCTGCTTGGTCGCCCCAGGCTCGTCGGCCGCTCCTCGGCCGCTCGGCCCCTCGGCTGGCCCGTGCCCAGGCTGGTCTTGGTTGGTTTGGCTCGTTTTCGCTTGGGAAGGGGCCAACGAGCTTGGGGCGACCAACGAAACTGGTGGACAAGAGAAAACAAAACAAATCAACCAAAGCCAGCCTGGGAACGGGCCAGCCGGGGGGCCGAGCGACGGAGGGGCTGCCGACGAACCTGGGGCGACCAGCGCAACCGATGGACAAGCGAAGACAAAGCAGAACAACCAAAACTAGCGCGGAACTGGCCATCAGAGGGGCCGAGCGACCGAGGGGCGGCCGACGAGCTTGGGGCGATAGGGTGCAACCGATGGACAAGCGAGAACAAACCAACACAACCAAAACCAGCCAGGGAACGGGCCAGCCGAGGGGCCGAGCGACCGAGGGGCGGCCGACGAGCATGGGGCGACGAGCGCAACCGATGGACAAAGGAAATCCAACACAACCAAAACCAGCCAAGGAACGGGCCAGCCGAGGGGGCGAGCGAACGCGGGGCGGCCGACGAGGGCGAGCAGTGCGACCGATGGACAAGCAAGAGCAAGCCAATACAACCAAACCACGCCAGGGAACGGGCCGACCGAATGGCCGATCGACCGAGGGGCGGCCGACGAGCCCGGGGCGACCAGTGCAACCGATGGACACGCGAAAGCAAACCAAAACAACCAAAACCAGCCAGGGAACGGGCCAGACGAGGGTCCGAGCGACCGAGGCGCGGCCGACGAGCCTGGGGCGACCAGTGCAACCGATGGACAAGCGAAACCAAGCCAAAACAACCTAAACCCGCCAGGGAAAGGGCCAGCCGGTGGGCCGAGCGACCGAGGTGCGGCCGACGAGCCCGGCGCAACCTGCGCAACCGATGGACAAGCGAAAAACAAGCCAACACCACCAGAACCGTCCTGGGACCGGGCCAGACGAGGAGCCGAGCGACCGAGGGGCGGCCGACTAGCTTGGGGCGACCAGTGCAACCGATGGACAAGCGAAAACAAACCAAAGCCACCAAAACCAGCCAGGGAACGGGCCAGACGAGGGGCCGAGTGACCGAAGGGCGGCCGACGAGCTTGGGGCAAGCGATGGGCAAGCGAAAACAAGCCAAAACAACCAAAAAACAAACCGGGGAAAGGGCCAGCCGAAGGGCCGAGCGACCGAGGAGCGGCCGACGAGCTTCGGGCGACCAGCGCAACCGGTGGACA